GATGCAGGTACACGAGCGGCAATCCAAAACTTTCTCATTCAGGCTCACCATAGAGTTTAACAGTTTCCAAAAACAGTTGCTTGTGCTTTCAACACAACTGTCAAGCCATAAAATGGCTGATCACATGTGCAGCACCATGGCAACTGCAGATCAAATAGAGGGTAAGATGGCAGCTTCCTTGGCTGTAAAGGAGGGGCAGGTTAGGTTTGGCTATTAACCATTAGCCGCCCGGCCAATGGCCGTTTGGCGGCTTCAAAAGTGTTGCTGCAGTCCGGGTGCACGCCATTTGGCGTGCTCCCGCACATGCGCAGTTTGCGCTAATGCAGAGCGGCGCAGCAGCGCGATCTGTCACCGGCCGTGCACCTCGGACACGGCCGATGACAGATCCGAGTACCGGCTCCCGTTGCTGGTACCATGTGACCTGCTGTGACCAATCACAGCAGGTCACATGACAGTTGTATACAATGGATGGCTTCATTCATGCCATCCATTGTATACTAGTGCCTAGCTGTGAATGGTCACAGCTAATCACATGCACATGTCATGTGATTAGCTGTGACCAAATCACAGCTAAGCACAAAAAAAAAAAAAAAAAAAAAAACTGAATGCTTATTCTTTGCTATAAGCAAATTGTGTAAAAAAAAAAAAAAAAAAAAAAAAAAGTACTGATCACTTCCCCAAAGTAGTACAATGTTACTATGGTAACGTTGTACTACTTTGGTCATAGTAAAATATGAAAAAAAAAATCGTAATAAAAAATTAAAAATAAAAAAAAAAAAAAAAAATATACCGTATTTGCCGGCGTATAAGACGACTTTTTGACCCTTGAAAATCTTCTCAAAAGTCGGGGGTCGTCTTATACGCCGGTACACATGTTTAGGGGGGCTGCGGCATTAAGTACAGGGGTTTGCAGGGGCTGATGTCTCTTACCTGGATCCAGTCCCACGACGATCCGGTCCAGGAAGCGCGGCGTCTCCTTCAGTTCGGCCACTGGATGTTCGTGCGGCTGCTCTCGGCTCCGCCTCCTCACCGGTGATTGGCCGCCAGAACTGTAGCTCAGGAAAGGCACACAGGCGGCCAATCACCGTGAGGGGGCGGAGCCGAGCGGCCCCGCGAAAATTGAGTGCCGGAGCAGCAGGTAAGTGTTCTGTGTAGAGGTGCTGCTGCAACCACATATGCTGGCTGCAGCAGCACCATACGAGAACAGGGTCAGCAAGTCTCAGTGGAGGAATAGTGCCCCATCATTGGTGTCACTGATACCAATGATGGGGCACTATTCCTCCCACTGACACCAACGATGGGGCACTATTCCTCCCCCCCACTGACACCAATGATGGGGCACTATTCCCCCCCCCCACTGACACCAACGATGGGGCACTATTCCACCCCCCACTGACACCAACGATGGGGCACTATTCCACCCCTCACTGACATCAATGATGGGGCACTATTCCTCCCACTGATACCAATGATGGGGCACTATTCCTGCCACTGATACCAATGATGGGGCACTATTCCTCCCACTGACACCAATGATGGGGCACTTTTCTTCCCACTGACACCAATGATGGAGCACTATTCCTCCACTGATACTAATGATAGGGCACTATTCCTGCCACTAATGCCAATGATGGGGCACTATTCCTGCCACTAATACCAATGATGGGGCACTATTCCTCCCACTGACATCAATGATGGGGCACTAAACTGATACCAAATGATGGGGCACTATTCCTCCCACTGACATCAATGATGGGGCACTATTCCTCCCACTGGTGTGCATTGGAAGAGGGGTAGTCTTATGCGGCGAGTATAGCCCAAACACTACATTTTTTAGCAGGAAAAGTAGGGGGTCGTCTTATACGCCCAGTCGTCTTATATGCCGGCAAATACGGTATATATTTTTTTTTTTCATACTGTCACCAGTCAGTGTCCCTGTTCACCGCCATGCCAGTTATATGACGCTGTACTGCACTGGTGACAGTATGTAAAAAAAAAAATAGTGAAAATAATTTTTTTAATTTTTTCATTTTCCGAAAAATTATGACAAAACAATACAACTTCAAAAAACTCGCCATGCCTGTTATGAAGTACGTCGGACTGTCTACTCTGCAAAAAGGGGTCATTTGGGGATATCTGTACTATTCTGACATTCTTGGACCTCTAGAAATTAGATTGGCTGTCAGTACTTCAGGATTGATCAATTTTCAGATCTATACCATAGTTTGTGAACTCTATAACTTTCCTACAAACTAAATAATACATCCTAATTTGGGTTATTTTCACCAAAGACATGTAGCAGAATACATCTCGGCCTAAATTTATGAAGAACAATTATTTATTTGTAAACTTTTATAACAGAAACAAAGAAAAATGTGGGGTTTTTTTCAAAATTTTTGGTTTTTTTTTGTTAGTTTAGCAAAAAATAAAAACCCCCCAGCGGTGATTAAATACCACCAAAAGAAAGCTCTAGTTGTGTGAAGAAAATGATAAAATTTTAGTTTGGGTACAGTGTTGTATGACCGCGCAATTGTCATTCAAAGTGTGAGAGCGCTGAAACCTGAAAAATGGCCTGGGCAGGAAGGGGGTAAAATTGCCCGGTATTGAATTGGTTAAAGTCACAAAGTCAGGCACTAAAAAAAAACAAGTCACATCCAATCAACTTTGAGTTGTCTTGGTTATGAAATGTGTTGGCTATTACGGTGATTTGCATCTTGTAATACTTTCCATTTTTACATGAAAAAGCAGTATAGGGTATCTTTATAAGGTTAATACATAGCTACAGAGTGATAACTGATCCTACGTTTTTGTTTTTTTGTTTTTTTTTTCCGTTTTTGTTTTTTTGGGGGGTGGTATTTTTCATGTTAGTCATAATTAGCAAGGAAGTGAAAGTATAGGCAGCATTGGGTACCGTAACTTTTTTTTTTTTTTTTTTTTTTAGCAAGAAATGTGTTGGTGTGTGTGAACAGTTTGCTGCTAGGGTGAGATGTTACAGAAATGAGTGCTTTAATTGAAAAATAACTAAACCCAAGGGCAAAACTGTAATATATTGCAGCTTACCAGTCATTAGTGGCGGCTGCATTAGTCTTCGGTCTAAGAACATTGTGTGAGTACAGAATCCTGTTGATCTGCCAAGCCCTTCTCATTTCATGTGAATCCAATCATCCTGCATGTAATGGAGACAAAAAGAAGATATCCTTGAAATCCAGCTTGTGTGGCAGCAATGGGTTCCTCCATGGATGCAATGGTTTGAGTGGGCAGAAAGTGTTTTGGAAGGATTACCAGGTCAAAATAAAGGGGAAAAGCCTTAACAAAAACAAAACTAATGCAGCCACCACATCTAAGGACTGGTCAGCTGCAATAGATTACCATTTTTGTTTTGGGTTTAGAGCTTTTAAATTTTGAGTACAAACTCAACCCCCGTTTACAAAATATTTTAAAGGAAGTTCACTATTGTCATAAATTTCCCCCAGCCCTCTTAACTAGTTAAATTAACCACTTCCAGTCCGGACACTTTCCCCCCTTTCCTGTCCAGGCCAATTTTCAGCTTTCAGCGTTGTCATGCAACACTGTACCCTTATAAATTTTACAGATAAAACTTTATTTTGGTGGTATTTATTCACCACTGGGATTTATTTTTTTTTGTTATATAAATGAAAGTCCAAAAATTTGGGAGTGTTTTTTCGTATAAAATTTTATAAAATCATTCTTCATAAATCTTGGCCAAAATTTATTCAGTTATCTTTTTAGTAAAAAAAATACCCAAATTAGTTTATAACCAAAAATTATAATTTTTCAACATGGTTTTACATTTTTTATTTTTTTTATTTTTTTTTTACATGCGGTTACCCTAGCAGTACAGTGTCACCATAGTGACACTGTACTACTTGGGGGGGGGGGGGGGATTTTTTTTTTTTTTTTCTTTACACTCAAAGGCTGTAAAAGCAATAATTTCTCATTCTCTCTGGCTGCATTCTTGCAGCCTTTGAGAAATACTGTGTGAGCTGTGATTGGTCACAGCTTGTCACATGGTACACTGCTATTGTGAATAGCCGTGTACCATGTGACCTCTGTGATCATTCACAGATTTGACACGTAGTAAGCAATGATGTCAGAAGTGACATCTTGCTTACTACTCTTCATGTGTGATCACTGATTGGCCAATCAATTGACATTTGTATGCGATTTGAACAGGAATGCAGTGCGATTCCTTTTCAAATCGCATATGATTTTCCGCACAGCTCCAGGAGGAGCCCGAGCCTGTGGACACTGATGTCTCCAGTGGGATCAGTAGCTAGTGGAACCCATCATGCCTGAACTCAGACCCATAGGAGCAGTGCGAGAAACCGCATGCGATTCGGATAGAAATCGCACCACATTCCTGCTCAAATCGCATAAAACTCTTTGTAGTGCGATTTGAGCCCATTCATTTTGTATGGGTCAAATCACACTGCAAAGGTATTGGTGCATTCCTAGTTTTTATTTTAGAGATTTTTGGAGGAGTTATGGTAATTTTGAACTTATCCTTTTTTTTTTTATTTATTTTGCTTCTAGTAGATCATTGATGTTAGTCCAGTCTCAGTAACTTGCCCTTTGTGGGTTGTGGAGAGGACAGGCATGCCATGCTGGGTTTTCCTGGCTATGCTGGTTCTTTATTTGGAATTCTAATGTTTTGGTTTATGACACTGCAAATCACACTCTATTCTATAGGTCTCATGATTGAGCTTGGAAGTTCCTAAATGTAAAATCCCCAGAACTTTCTCGCAGTCGTGCTGCCAATACAAGCGATTGTCTGTACAGAGCCCTGCTCTTGTAAATGCTGATTGTGTCGGTGTTTCCATGCGTATGGCCGTGTACAACCATTCATTTGTATTAGCAGCTGTCTGCGCCACGTGCTGTTCCCAGCCGTGAGGAAGCACCGGGGATTTTACACTTGGGGATTGGTAAGCACCGTTTGTGTGCATGAGGCCTTACAATGAACATGTCAGCCATTTATATATGTAACCTCCCTGGCGGAATTCCCGAGTGTAGCTCGGGGTAAAGTTTCAGTACCACAAGCGGTAACCCCGAGCTACACTTGGGCTTACCAAGCGGTGCTGCTCCGGGATCTGTTCTTCACTTACCTTGTCCTGCTCTCCCCCGCGATGTCCCCCCTGCAGTGTCCCCTGTAATGTCCTCCAGCCGATGCCGGCATCCGTCATCGGGGTTCCATCCCCTGCGAGCGTTGGGACGTACGGGGGGACGGAACTGGCGGGAAATTTGAAAATGACAAAAAGTGACATTGACTAAATACACTAAAATCACATAGTAAAACATTCCTGTATCAACCCATTTCACATACATTTTGTCCCGAGTGCTTTGTCCGCCCTGCCTGCATTTTTACTGTTCATTCTGCCTGGAAACTGAGAAACGTCCATGGCGTCCAAAAAGTGTCCCTTTAGGTCAAAAGAGGTTTTAGACCGGCTAGAGAACAGCGATAGTAAATTAGAACCACTTGCAGAATTGAGTGATAATGATTCGTGGGGGGAAATTCCTCATCAGACACTGAAAACGATTTTGAGACTTTGTGATGTGTGAACTTGGCGCTATATTTAAAATTTCAGTGTTTTGGTTTGATTATATTATTGAATTAAATTATTATATTTTTATTTTTTATGATTATTCAAATTATAATTTATGATTTCGTGTTTCAAATTTTATCCTACCCGGGATGTTTACTAGACTCTTGTTCGGACAGATTTCAGTGAGTTATTCCTAAAAATTACAGGCCTACAATAAAAAAAAAATACATATTTCCAAGCGAAAAAATGTACCGCTTTGAGCACGGAAATATGGACATAATCAGACCACTAGGGGGAAAATTTAGTCAAGACCTATCTAACGCTAAACCTACTGTCGGCCTAATCTGTCTAACCCTGTAAAGAAAAAAATCGCTATACTTGCCTGTTCTGAAGCTGCTCCGGTCCGGTCCCAGGCTGAGCTGTCAGCGGCAGTTTCTGTGTAGAGCAGAGGCCGCTGACAACAGATGCCCCATAGTAAGCCTATGAAAGACGTCATCTCCTGCTCATTTCCAAGCTGTTGTTGGCCTTCTCTTTCTAGACGGAGGTTGCTGCTGGAGCCTGAACCGGAGTTGCTTGAGAATAGACCAGTATAGCGATCTTTTCTTTACAGGGTTAGATAGATTGGGCTTAGAATGTTAACACAACTCACCAGCGCCAAAAATTATATTGTGAAATAATTCCCAAATAAATGCTGCTGCTCCTTGGTGTCAACACTAATAAAATAATAAAAAAAATTAAAAGAGCGCAAATAAACACTCAAAAGATTGTATAGTAAATAATAATAAAAAAAAATCATATAAAAAAATATAATTAAATAAATAGTCCCACTCCAAAAAAAAAATGGTGAGTAAAATAAAAAGTCCTTATTCCAAGACCCTTGACCAGTGTTCACGCCCGTGTGTGCTAAGATCACATACCGCACTCACCAGATAATGGTGAAAAAAAAAATGCCTTAAATATGGGCTCAGGAATCCTAGACCTCATCAATACAGCCTCCAATCACCAGGTTTAGGTGGAAATCCCCCAATGCAGGTAGAGATATATGCCTCAGACCTCCAAACTGGAATTAGAATTTGCTTCCAGCCTCCATGACCATCAAAGATCACTCATTCTGCAGAGCCTGCGCTCTGTCCTGTACTATGTGACAGGTTATAATACATGATACTGTGTCGGGTGAGCAACTCCCGACACAGTATATTTTTGTATTGTTTACTATATATTCTTTTGTGTGTATATGTATTTGCACTGTTTTAGTGTTTTGTTTTTTTTTGTAGGCTTAGAATGTGGCTGAGAGTAGGTTTAGTGTTTTAGGTTTTTTTTTTTTAATTTATTTCAGGTACTTATATAGCGCCGTCAATTTGCGCAGCGCTTTACATACACATAGTGTGTGTATGTATGTGTGAGTGTATGTATGTATGTATATATATATATATATATATATATATATATATACACAGTGGGGATCGAAAGTTTGGGCACCCCAGCTAAAAATTTGTGTTAATGTGCATAAAGAAGCCAAGGAAAGATGGAAAAATCTCCAAAAGGCATCAAATTATAGATTAGACATTCTTATAATATGTCAACAAAAGTTAGATTTTATTTCCATCATTTACACTTTCAAAATAACATAAAACAAAAAAATGGCGTCTGCAAAAGTTTGGGCACCCTGCAGAGTTAATATCTTGTACTGCCCCCTTTGCCAAGCTGAGACCTGCCAGTGTCATGGATTGTTCTCAATCATCATCTGGGAAGACCAGGTGATGTCAATCTCAAAGGTTTTAAATGCCCAGACTCATCTGACCTTGCCCCAACAATCAGCACCATGGGTTCTTCTAAGCAGTTGTCTAGAAAACTGAAACTGAAAATAGTTGACGCTCACAAAGCTGGAGAAGGCTATAAGAAGGTAGCAAAGCGTTTTCAGATGTCAATATCCTCTGTTCGGAATGTAATTTATAAATGGCAGTCATCGGGAACAGTGGAAGTTAAAGCAAGATCTGGAAGACCAAGAAAAATATCAGACAGAACAGCTCGCAGGATTGTGAGAAAAACAATTCAAAACCCACTTTTGACTGCACGATCCCTCCAGAAAGATCTGGCAGACACTGGAGTTGTGGTACACTATCCCACTATAAAGAGATACTTGTACAAATATGGTCTTCATGGAAGCGTCATCAGAAGAAAACCTCTTCTACGTCCTCACCACAAAAATCATCGTTTGAACTTTGCAAATGAACATATAGACAAGCCTGATGCATTTTGGAAACAAGTTCTGTGGACCGATGAGGTTAAAATTGAACTTTTTGGCCGGAATGAGCAAAGGTAAGTTTGGAGAAGAAGGGGCACAGAATTTAATGAAAAGAACCTCTGTCCAACTGTTAAGCATGGGGTTGGATCAATCATGCTTTGGGGTTGTGCTGCAGCCAGTGGCACAGGGAACATCTCACAAGTAGAAGGAAAAATGGATTCAATAAAATTTCAGCATATTTTGGATGGTAACTTGATGCCATCTGTGAAAAAGCTGAAGTTAAAGAGAGGATGGCTTCTACAAATGGATAATGATCCTAAACACACCTCGAAATCCATGGGGGATAACATCAAGAGGCGTAAACTGAAGGTTTTGCCATGGCCTTCACAATTTCCTGACCTCAACATAATTGAAAATCTATGGATAGACCTTAAAAGAGCAGTGCGTGACAGACAGCCCAGAAATCTCAAAGAACTGGAAGACTTTTGTAAGGAAGAATGGGCAAAGATACCTCAAACAAGAATTGAAAGACTCTTGGCTGGCTACAAAAAGCGTTTACAAGCTGTGATACTTGCCAAAGGGGGCAGTACAAGATATTAACTCTGCAGGGTGCCCAAACTTTTGCAGACGCCATTTTTTTTTGTTTTCTGTTATTTTGAAAATGTAAATGATGGAAATCGCTCTGAAATAACCAAAAAAATGTCTTTTCTTCTCAAAATCTAACTTTTGGTGACCTATTATAAGACTGTCTAATCTATAATTTGATGCCTTTTGGAGATTTTTTCCATCTTTCCTTGGCTTCTTAATGCACATTAATACAAATTTTTAGCTGGGGTGCCCAAACTTTCGATCCCCACTGTACATATATATATATGTGTGTGTATGTGTATATATATGTATATATATCTTAGATTGTAAGCTCCTTGAGGGTTAGGGACTGATGTGAATGTACTAATTATATATATATATATATATATATATATATATATATTTATTGTGTGTGTGTATGTATGTATGTATATATATATATATATATATATATATATATATATATATATATATATATATATATATATATATATATATATATATATATTACATTCACATCAGTCCCTAACCCTCAAGGAGCTTACAATCTAAGGTCCCTAACCTACATTCATATGTATACTAGGGCCAATTTAGACCGGAGCCAATTAACCTACCAGCATGTCTTTGGAGTGTGGGAGGAAACCAACACAGGCATAGGGAGAACATGCAAACTCCAGGCAGGTGGTGCCGTGTCTTTTGACTAAACTTCCACTCTTAAGACGAAAGCTGTAGCTAAGAGCAAACAGCAAGTGCCCGTTGTCTCTCTACCCCAGAAGATCTTGGTGTGCCCATCTGGTTTAGTTTCAACTGGTAACTTGCCATCTTGGCTAAATCCTTCATAATGCCGTATCATCCTCCTGGCTAGTTAGAAGTCTTCAGTGGCCATTAATGTCCCCCTTATTGGACAGGGTACAGGTGGCAGGGCAGATCATAGTAAAGTGGTACAAGTCCAAAGAGGTACACAGAAAAGACGTTTCCAAATAGAAAAGTAACTTTGTGGTACTTACAAAAGATTTAAAATGACTGCAGCTCCACTGGAAGGCTCCATACAGACGGGGCTTTTTAATAACGCTGGTAACGTTAGCTGTGTAAAGTCATGTTAAAAACTTGAGTTTTTTTTGGCATTTTTGTAATAGCGGTTTGCTGTGTTTGTGACCGAAAAAAAAAATGTCCAAAAATGCTGGTTTGCCGCGTATTTCATCGGTCGAATGTTTTTACAGCTAAAAAACTCCTCTAGAACCCTACTAGTTCTGGGGCCTTTTTTCCAGCCCAAAAAGGCCCCTGCCAAAAAACGTTATTTATAGTCTGTGTGTGCATGGACACATAGGATAACATGCTGGGGGATTTACTGGCTCTAGAAAAAAAGCCAAAAGCCAAAAACAGCCGCTGTAAAAACATCCCATGTGCATGAGGACGAAGACTTAGGAAGAAGATATTTACATCACAGCACTCGGTCTGATTTCGGGATTGAAAGGAAATTTCAGCAGTGTTTGCAAAATACATTTAATGTTCTTTGAAAGAAAATATAACTGGACTGAATGGTATTATATTTGTCTGGAATGCAACTTCAGCCTTGTCACCTGCTCTGATCTATGGTACATTGCAGAATTTATTTGTTGCGGTACTTGTGCCGCCATTTTTGGTGAGTCACTGGGAATGCAAGGGAGGCCTAAGAACAATTTTCAAAATATCAGATTTGTGTGTGGTTTCAAAAAGAGGAACGGGACGTTGCATGAGTGCGGTCACTGGGTGAATGAAGTTTGTGTCACACAGTTTTCTCATATCCTACATACATGGAGAATTCCATTTTGTCAGTCTTACAACAGTTCCCAGCAACAGCGTGGCAGCCATTTTTTAAATGCTGGTCTGTTAAAGTAAACCTGTCACTATAAGAGCCATGGTTAGAGAAAATGTATCCTTTTCCTAAAAAATTACAACAAAAGCACCTT